GAGAGCCACTAAGGACCTGGTTGCTGGGCAGGTTGTGACATTTGAAATCAAATTCCCTAATCCCTTGTACATCTCTGCTAGTGCTGGGATCCAAGTCATCTTCTTCTGCACTGGTGGAAGCAAAGGGAAAATCGTGTATGATCCCTTTCTCCTGATGATCCCAGATGTCTCTGGCTATTGCCAGACCTATAACATCCATGGACAGGACCAGTATGAGAACTACGCAATAATAACAGCCAAAACATCAGAATCTGGTGGCATCACCATTAATAAGGAACCCTTGGGAAACATTGCATGGAGGCCAATTCCAGGCACAGGGTTCTCTTGGGCTGAATACAACCTTGGCAAAGGGTTTAAGAGAGAAACCATGGAGCACCCCACATCTCCTTTTGGGCTTCTGAGCATTGGGATTGAATCCAAATCTGGGTATGGCTCAGCAGCTATTGGTGCAAGCAGTAAGTAAAGTAGTTTTTGTTATGTCTTTTCCCACTTCTCACTCTCTTGCCACCTTTATTTAGCCTTGAACCCCGACCCATAATATTACAGAATCTCAGCTTGAAAAATGGAAAGACTTGTAGAGTCAGAGTCTCTGTGTTGTTGAGCTTCAGGTGTGCACAGCAGAACAGGATGGGCAGCTGACAGAGAGCTGATCACACTCCGAGATCTTGTCCCTGGGTGTTGCCTGGGGGCTGCTCTAAATTGAGCGCACTGACTGTTGTCCCCTATGGGTCATAAGTCAGCTGAGCATTATCAGAGCCCATCACATCACAGCCACTCTCCTTGCCTGCTCTGTGTTGCAGGGACAGAGATTTAGGAACTTGTTCTGCTGGCTGTACACCTGCTATTGTCCCATCCATGCCGGTGATTTTCCAGCAGGGGACTTGTCAGAGGTTTCTGTTTCCTTTGTGCCACCTGTGAGGGATGGTCTAGCTAATACGTAGTCCTGTCTTGAGTGCAGGGGGCTGGACTAGAAGACCTCTCGAGGTCCCTTCCAGTCCTACAATTCTATGATTCTATGAATGGTGCAAAGGGCATATGTATGGGACTAGATAGATGTTTGTCTGTTGATAGATCAATATAGAGGGTGTAGTAGGTGACAGATGGATAGACAGATATAAAGGGAGTTGGCAGATAGATATAGATGGATAGATACAGAGAGAGTGACAGAAAGATATAGTAAGTGATGTGGGGGGACAGATGGACAGATAGCTGTCTTGTCTATTTCAATTGTAAGCCCTTTGGGGCAGGGACCGTCTGCTGCTCTGGATTTGCACAGCACCTAGCACAGTGAAGTCCCATTCTCAGTTGGGCCTTAGGCACTACCCTAATAACCATGATTCATTAAAAAAAAAAGAAAGGAAAGAATGATCGATCATCTCGTCCGTTTCATAGACAGGCTGTGGGATTCTGTTGAGACTCAATTTAATTCCGATTTTTCCTACGGTCCCTCAGCCCTTCTCTGCTTGTAAATATAACTGATTAGTCTGGTGTTTCTTGTCTTTCAATTGTCTTTCCGGCTAGATATTCCAACGTCATCTTGCAGTGTGGTCCTCTGCAAGGAAGGAACAGTTTGTAAGATGATAGATGGGGAGCCAGAGTGTTTGCCAGTTTCTGCGGCCACGTGTTGGGCTGGGGGTTACTTGCATTACCACACCTTCGATGGCCGACCGTATGACATCCATGGCACCTGCACCTACACTGTGGCCAAGACCTGCGGGTGTGACTGTGACCCGCACTCCTTTGACATCACGGCTGAGACTGGGAACAGGGGGAACACGCAGGTCTCATACATTGGGTCGCTAACCATCCAGGTGGATGGCATTACCATCACAGTGGCCAGGGCAGAGGTCGGCTTTGTAAGGGTGAGTGCTGGGTGCACATCTCCACCCCGCTGCTACGCACAATTGCCCAGTGTGGCGCTAGCGGGTGCTGTGTGGCAGGGATGGCGTGTGTGTGGGGGTCAGTCAGGGGCGCTGTCCCCTCAGAGTTGCACTGACCCCAATTCCTCAGCATGGTACCACAAGGTGCTGCGCTGAGGGGAGAGGAGTGGGTGATTTGGTGTGGGGAGCTGTCTGCTCTGTCACAAGCACATGGGATTTGCTGTACTATGCCAGATAAATTATAGACCTGAGGACTTTGGGCATTACATCTCCCTTGGCGCGTCATGCAGGTGCAGGGCCAGTACCCCAGTGGGCAAATCCCAGCTCCGCTGAGTCTATCCTTCTGCAAGTTCCCTTGTAATTTTTAATGTAACAGGGATCCCTCTGAGACCCTACCTGAGGAGAATCCCCACTTCTGGATCCAGGAGGATGTTGCCTCAGCTCTAAGATATGGGGAAACTGAGGCACCTCGGATAGAGCAGGCTTTGTAAAGCAGAGCCCCTGACCTGCCTACATGTGCCTCAGTTTCCCCATATCTTAGAGCTGAGGCAACATCCTCCT